CCAAATCATTTTCATCTTTGAGCAATAAAATCAATATTAACTATTGATTCAACCTTTCTTAAGCAAATTCAATCAAGTATGTCTTCTGATTTTTTTTTTTTTTTTTTTTTTTTTTTTTATAATATCAAGAATAATTCTTTTAAGTCTTATGATACTTCCAAGTTTAGATTTAAAAATAATCTATTCTATTTTGAATGATGATTATACATTCCAAAAGGCTAAGCACGATTACGTATTCTTCAAGCTCATCATGACTTTCTAACAATTGGATATTTTAGATACAACTAGACTTGAAAGCTAATATCTAGAGATTTTTGATTGCTTCAAATGTAGAAGGCTATCAAAGACTTTGTACAATCATGTGATACTTATTTAAGATCCAAAACTCCTTGTCTTTTACTTTATGGACAACTTATTATTTATTATTGAACTTTAATTGTTATAAAAATATTGTAAATAAATTCATTTGCTTGCTCTAAAGCAAGACAACCTAAAATATCCAATCCACAATAAAACTTGACATTGACAATAATAAAGACAAAGTCCAAATTTGAGCATTTGACAAAGAATACTTTCATAAGTCCAAGAGTTTTTTTTATAATAAAATAAATTGAAGTCATAAAATGAATATTGACATTGATTGATTGTAATAAATGAGTATTATTTTTTACTCTTGCGCAATGAATTGGAACTTTTGTATAATTTTTTTGTAATGCAATGTAAAATATAATAAAAATTCAATTAACTTTGTACTTCTTGTATAACTTTGCACATTCCATGTAAAACTTTGTACTTCAATTAAATCTTATACATTTTACACATCAAGTATAATGTATAAAATTGAACTATCAAATACAATGTATAAAATTATATTGTATAAAATATATAAATCTCTGCTCTTTCTATATAAAATGTATAAAATTTTGTACTTTTTGTGTAAGTCAATCAACACAAAAAGTTACATGACTATATTCTCACTCTACCTACATTAAAGAAGAATCATGTGCTCTAAGACCTGAAGGAGTTAATACCTTGAAATATGACGGCACCCTTGGCTACCGTAACAGTCGCATTTTAGCCGTAATGAAGTGAAGTCGCCAACTTCAAATCTCATCCTCAGTTTTGGTTTCAATATTAGTGGCCCTGCTGCAAGGATGGTATCGTTACACTTCACCATTTGAGTGCCAATGCTGTTGGTGGCACTGATAGCCAGCTTTAATCTAGTCCATGGGTACATTCCGTTAAACAACCCCTGTGGCCCAGCCTATTGGTGCTGGGACTGCCATTTCAAAACCAATTACAAACTGTATTGTGTCTGGGTCTTTTTTGCTGATGGATTTTGATGCACAATTCAGGCATTCAATCCTACATGCAATGCACTAGACCAGATCAACATCATACATGCTTTGAATCTGCCGAGAATCGGAATCCGTAAGGAACTGGGTATCACAACAAATAAAATCATACAAATCCTAGTCAAATATAACAGTTTAATCTCCAGATAGTGCATATTAGACACGGAACATGAATATATCACCAGCTGCTGCATTATACTGAACAAGTTATCTAATCTTGACAGAAGATAACAATCTTCGCATAGAAAAAAAAATCAGAACAGAACAAAGCGTTCGTTTATGAATGAAGACAGCAATATTTTTGATGATATCGTTCATATTAGCGAAAACAAAAATGCAATACCAGATTACGCATATACAACAGGTCCCACGTTGAGTACCAGATCCATTAATTAGAAACATCAAGACAAGATCGAATTAAGAAAAGATCTACACTGCATAAAGCTCATATTCATCAAACTCTAGGTTATTGAAACAAGCTCCGAATGTAACATACCAGCTCTAAACCCCCAAGCACATGGGTCATCACACATACGGTCACCAACCAACAAACCCACGAGTACAAGCCTGAGTTCCTGCATTAAAATGCACACTAATAATTTACAAGGTCTAATCTGCAACAAATATACATTCAAAAGATAAGTTAGTCCTGAGATCATATTCTAACACTAGGATCTAATCTAATCCTCTAGATCAGACGCACAATTAGCGGAGATATGTCGACTAGACGCGAAATCCAAGGGAAAAAGTAATCAGCATATTAATTGATAATACTTGTCCATTGATCAGAAGTTCTGCCAGAAACTTATAGAAATATTTCCAGTTACAGTTTGCTGTAGATTTTCTCTGATTCGTCCTCCAAAACAGGGTACGTAGCCACTAAACCATCCTGAGCATCGATATAAAGCGAGTTGTATATCTTCCAGTAAACTACTCGAACTTTTCTCGCAGGGTGAAACAGCCCCTGCAAGCATTAATTCAACAAAATGGCAGGACCAAAGACGACCCGCACGCCTTCAATTGCTTTCATAACTGCATTATTGACACTAGACGCCGCCTCGAAAATATTAGGCCATAAGTAATTCAACAAGTGAATCAGATCCTCCTCACACCCGAGTCCTGCAACTCCCAGAGCTATACGCTTCACAGCTGAAGCAGTTGTCTGCCTTTATACAAGATCTCGATCTATCAACGCATCCTCCAACAGTGGGGAGATAGCATGAACGTACTCCTTTCCCATTTCTTCGATGTACTCGAACAAAAAGGAGAGTGATTTCAGCACACCATTCTGAACATTCAACTCTGGAACTCGGTTTTCGTTCATCAATGCCGGAAGCACGGTAAAAGGAAAACAAGTTTCAGCCACGATGGCAATGGCCACAGTAATACACACACGATTTTGCCAATATTTCACGAGTCTGTGGCAAATACGGCTTGACTCTCTGTCCTAAAGCATTACCAACTGTGCCGAAACCATTGAGCATCACATTTGCATCATCACTTGTCTGCTCCTGGAAGGCATACAAGATGCCATCAATTAATAATTCCTCAAGTTGAGCATTAATATCTGAAGCCCCCAGATTGGCAACCACTTTCTCGATAGTTTCCATCACCATTCAACGACGACAAGGTTCGCTTTTATCTTTCAGATCTTCAACCATTCTTACAAGTGGTGTTTCTCATGTACTAATCGATATTATCAGTATTAGGCCTCATTGCTGCAATCGTGGTAGCTAATCCTGCCGCTTTACTGAGATTGGAAATAATTTCCCGATCTTCCACACGGGCATAGTAATCCTCATCAATAAGAAGAGGCTCAATGACCACAAGAATCCTGTGTACAAATGGCCTAACCAGCTCGTCCAATTTGTACAGCGCCCTGTCAATAACCTTCACGAGCAGATGCCTCTCCTGGTCCTCGAGCGTAGGAGACATGAGCAAAGGCAAGATCTGGTTACACAAAGGTCCAGCACCAAACTCCTTTGCTTTGTCAGTCGACTGCCGCAAAGACGTTTTTCTCTGCGGTGGGATGTCATTCTTTACCTTCAACAACAGCTTCATAAATTCACGCTCCTTACTCTCCTCTGCGGTCATTCCTCTTCCTCTTTCTCACCTAACAAGGAACCGAGGTACTGATAATCCTCCGGTTTCAAAAAAAGTAATCCTCCAGCTGCTTCCTTAGGAACATCATATTGCTGAGTACGATACTCCTCAGGAATGTGATACAGCTGAGTGCCTTCCAAAGAAATCGGCGTGGCCAGGAGCTTCCGGACAGGGGTTCTGATGGGAATGTAAGAAGCAGGGAGTTCCAACATCTTGTAACCTGCCGTGGGAAACATGGACTCCAATTCCTCATCCGACAAAGGCCGATTTCTCTCCCCGATATCCTTCTCCCACCGTAACATATTGACTTGCTCTGGCGTCAAAGGACCCCGTAGCGCAATTTGGCCTGGTGATGGGGTAGCAAACTCGAGGCCTCCAAAAGCTGTGACACCGGGAGTGAAAATGGATGATGTAGGCCCTGGCGACGTAGTAGTACTCCCCATGGATTCAGGGGTTTCGTCCTATCGAAATCTCTGCTTCTTCCCGGGAGTAGCCATACCTGCAAGCTTTGGAGTTGCATCTCATGTCATGCCTGCCGGCGTGGCGCCTGGAGTCGCACCAGCGCCAGGCGTTGCATCTGCGTCAGATGCTCTGCCTGGTGTCGGTGTTTCATCCCATCGATTGCGTCTAGAAGCTGTCACGGGTGTGGCATCCGGATTCGCGCGTTCCGTTCAGACATTGCTTCCGGTAATCATCCTCCCTATCAATAATCCGCGACGGTTTCTTGAATCCAATCCCATCGTCCACCACTTCATCCCTGGGGATATCGTTAATCAAGCTCTTGGAAGCCGTGTAATAAGCAAGCTTTTTAGCATCTGCCCTATCTTTCGTATCCTGCAGGTAATCATCCTTATCATTCAGTGCAATTGAATGCTCACAACCCTCAAATCTATTCAATTCCCCATACAAATCCTTGTCGAAGCTCTGCGACGAGATCTTCGATAACTCCGCTTCATGCTTCTGCAGCTCCTCCTGCACCTTGGCAATCTCCCGGTCTGTATCGACCTCCATCTTCGACTCCAAACCCTAAACCTCTCAAACACAAAAATTCAATCCACTTCAAAGTCACTCAAACCAAGCTGCTTTTCACAACTGCCCTTCAAGGCACGAAATGCCTCCTTGCCAAAGTCAGTTTTCCAAATCGCACCTCAAATTTCTTACTGCAGAACTCAAACCCTAGCCTTGATGAAAACTAAAATCCTACACTATTTGCCACTAATCCAAAATTTTGCTACAAAATCTCTGCAACTCCCACCTACAGCAGATGCAAATAAAAGAGAGGTGGTAGGGAGTTCACACAGTGGAGCTGCCCTCATCGCAACTCAAACCAAGGTCCGTCAAGACTATTCTGCAGGTCACCAACAACATTCTAAAAACGTAAAATAATTTACCTTCGGGCCCACTTTGTCGGTGCGAGCGCCAACGAATGACAAAGGATGATGAGAAACATCTCACAACGAATTTTCCCGAACATCTCAAAAAGAACTAAAACAATTCGGATGAGGAGACGAGCCATTGTGAAGATAATGCAGCCTTCTCTGCTACGCGGCCCCTCTAATTCTCACTTGTTTCCGAAACTCAGTCGTGGTTTCTCTAATTCCAACCATCATTTCTCACGAATCTTCAGTATGTCCTGTGCTTTTACGAACCAGAATTCATTTAGTTGACGTTCAGTTTTCTGCAATCTGCGTGAGATTTTCCAGTTTCTTTTGTGGAGAGTAAACTTGCTGCTAGTTTTGGTTGCTGCGGCCTGTTCTGTCGATTCTGTGAATTCGTTTCTGCGGCGAAAGTTTTGGGGGAGTGACGGTAGCGTTGGGAGTTTCTGCGAGTGGCGAGGAGGGAGGATTTGGAGAATGTGTTCGCAGAGGGTTTAGTTACGATCTGTGACTGCATTTTGGTGTGAAGCATTTGGAGCGCCTTGTGGTTGTAGAACTCGAATGGTGAGCCCTTGTTGGAAACGGGGTTTTACATGTAGGTGATTCGAGGTATAGTTGTGCAGGCTTCCGTAGCGCGAGTTGGCGAGAAATTTGGGTGAATTGTTGGTTTTCATGGATGCTGTTATCGTGTGAGTCGCCTTAAGATTTAATTCGACGTTTGTATGTTTCTAGGGTTATACAATATATTGGAACTGTGTGCTTCTAGTGAAAAATACCGTCTCGAGGGATCTGGTCTTGCATTGGTTTATCTCCAGACAAGTCTTTCGTGTGTCCTTTTGTCATTTTATTTTTATTTTTATTTTTCTCTCTATCGAGATTTGTGGTTCTCTGAAAGAATGATGCAGAGTCTCCATGTGTTATTGTGTTTCTTACAGGAAACCTCTTTGTCTTTCTTCTGAGTTGCGGATTATATTGGAAGAGTCGGAATTTACAGTAGGGTTTAAGCTGCTGTTCTAATACTTTTCAACCTGCAGAGATTTTGGACCAGCTTACGACGATTTACATCGCGGATTTTTCGGAGTTTCAGTCTTTCGCTGAATTTAATGTGGTTCCAGCAGTGTCACGTATAATACCGGTAATTGCAACGAAGCATTTCGTTCTCTTGATTGTAACTGGAGAACACTTCGCAATTTGTCAATGACAGGTTTAACCACCTTCCTGCCTTTCCTCCGTGGAACACTTCTAGGACTTAAGCTTGGTGTACGCCAGCGGCATGTTCTACCAGATTCTCATCGTATAGTTGAAGCGTCTCTTGCCCGTGCTCACGTTCAGTGCTTCTCTCTGCGAGCATGTCGCGCATCGAAAGCGAGTGACGCTAGTACAGTGTGTGTCGAAAGCTCTGGTCGAAGCTTGGAGTGGTTAGCCAGCAAGACTCCGATAAGATCTTACGCTTCTTCTGCTGATGCAATGAATGCAACCGTTTCGTCTTCTAAGGTTACCTTTCTACACTATTCTGTGTATTACATAATTGTATGAAGTCAAGTCAACTGAGTTGCCCATGTTTGCTTATATTGTTGGATATCTCTGAATCTTTCGCTTTTTCTCATACAATTGCACTTGGCTTCTAGGCTTGGAATTATCGCAGGATCTCAGTTTGTTTTGGCAGCATATGTTGGAATTCAAGTGTTTAGAAATAGTTTTAGTTAGAGAGATCACTTACTGGTGAGGTTGACCCGATCCGTTTTCCATTCTCAACGTAGCAGAGTCAGGTGTTGAAGGAGTTAGAAAAGGTATTAGGATCGCCCTTGGACACCCAACCTCAAGCTCCTCCTCCGAATCCCCTTGTGGTAGTCATAAGTGGCCCCAGCGGTGTTGGCAAAGATGCCGTTATTAAGGTGACGCACATACTGCTGTCCCACCTGCTATCACTTGATATCCTTCTTGTGGACTTGATCAGTTGATCATGGTAGTTGAAAAAAACTCCCACTGGTTTGGATTTCTTAGATACTTAGCGTAGATACTTGTACCAAACATTCTTAGCATGCATGTGACAATTCAAGCTACTATTTGCACTGGCATGAAGATTAAATCCTGGGCGATTATCTGATTTTGTTTAAGTTCAACAGAGGTTGCAGGAGATTCGAAATGAAATTCACTTCGTGGTCACAGCTACTACGCGACCAAAACGGCCGGGTGAAGTAGAAGGAGTAGACTATTATTTTATGAGTAAGCCAGAGTTTCTCGACTTGATTGCTCGGAACGAGCTTATTGAGCACGCCTTGGTATATGGTGATTATAAGGGAGTCCCAAAGAAACAGGTAATTGCATGTCATACACACTTAGTTTTTGCAGCCATAGTCACTGGCAAACAATGTATTGTTACTTCCAATGTATTTTCATTGTACGTCAATTGAAAAAAGAAAAACGAGCAAGAAGATCAAAAATGTTGATGAAAAGAAACATCTTCGTTGTTGCCAGGTGAGGGAGTGTATGAGCACAGGTCAGGATGTACTACTTCGACTGGACATTCAAGGGGCTGCAACAGTTCGAAAACTTTTTGGGCAGGAGGCGGTCTTCATCTTTTTGGTGGCTGAGAGTGAAGTTGCCCTTGTTGAGCGACTAGTGGAACGAAAAACCGAAAGTATTGACAAGCTGTTGGTCAGAGTGGCCACGGCACGAGAGGAGGTCAAACATATAAATGAATTCGACTACGTGGTTGTAAATGCAGACGGCCAGCTGGAGCGAACGGTCTCTCATCTTTGTTCGATCATTGATGCTGAAAAAGCCCGTGTACAACAACGTCATGCTCAATTTTAGAAATATCCAAGGCTCATTTTGGGTAGAAATTCTTTCATTCCTACGATCTGCGATGTGTGTAGTTCATTCTTTTTTCAGTAGTTGTCCTTGAGCCAAAGATACTTGGGTAATTTTGTCTGGTCACTCATTCAATAGGTATCTTTACCTTACTTTGTACTTAATTCAGTAAGGTTGAGCACCATTTTTTTATCTTATCTTCATTCACTACAAATGTATGCTGACACATTGCTGGAGGCATCTACTAAGGAAAAAATTTAGATTTTTTACAACCTATCAACATGCACCTAAGCTCAAGAAGCTCAAGAAAATCATTGAAGTTTTCCTCATTTCAGAGTCGAATTCACCAGTTACGTCCACAGCATGTGTGTAAGAATGAATATATTTAGATATGTGTATATATATATATACATATATATGTTCCCACTCACACATGTATTGTCCACATCAAATCTCAGCTGGCACTGCAGCTCTGATTGATTCTCCGGTTCCGCACTAAAGCATAATCAGTATTACGTTTCTCAATTGAAGATTTGGTGATCTCAAATCTGGTGACAGCACGGAATTGTGTGCAACGAAGCAGCACGTAACCATGGTGCAGAGCTGGATGACGTCTACAATCTGAAGTTGTACACTATTTGAGAGTCATGAAGAGCCAGCTTTGAGAGCTGAGTGGAAGTTTGAAATGGTCATCGAGGCACTTTCTTCACGTGTTCCTTGGTTACCCATTTTTCTACTAGGGTTAGACTGAAATAGAATTTTGGAAGAGAATTTTACCCTTTTGTATTTCTAGTATTTTCTGTGTTCTGTTACAAGTATAATTTTCTTCTAAAATTAGAGGTTGGGAAATCCACTACAAAAGAAAGGCTTTTATGGTTTGTTGAAGAACTTTCACACACAACATTTCTTTTTGTAAAGACTTTTATGTGACATTTTGGGTGATATACTATATTACTGAGTAAGAGTAGTGTTTGTTCAATCTTTTGCAAAGCATTCTCCAATCGAACTAAAATTTAGCTGCTTAGGATGTTCTCGATAGTTTGGTGTTTCTTTGAATTCATAAGGACTTTATTATTTTAATTTACATCATAAGCAAGATTTTGGAATTCAACAACATATTGTGGTTGAACGTGTTATTTATTATAAAGATATGAATTTGGACTTTGTTATCTTTTTTCAATCACTTTTTCTAAATATAATAGTAAATACTTCTAAGAATGAATTTAGATCATAGAAAAGACATAAATATTTTTTTATCAAAAGTTTAAACTAAGAAAGAATACTTTTAAAGAATTGTATACCTATGAATCCAACTTGAGTAAATCCATTTCAATATTGAAATAGATGAAATCTTAGATAGAGCTTTATTTGTTGGAAAAATCTTCAAAACTTTGATCTTGTTCAATTAAACTTCTTTGAAATACTTATCCTTATTTTTTTTATACTTGTAATAGCAAAACTTCTCAAATTTAGTTATAAACTTGATCTACTTGCTTCTCTCTACTTGTATAACTTCTTACATAGACTTTGAGCTTTATTATTGATTTCTTTTATAGATATGAAAATACTACCTCCATAATTTATATTAAAATTATGTAAGATTTTTATCTTTAAAATGCAAGAAAATAAAAACAATGAATTAGTACTCTTGTCAAAGTACTATTTTTAAGAACTATGTAGCGATGTCTTATAAAACCTTCAAAATGTATTGACTTTATAAGATACATAGCTTAACTTGCAAGGCAAGTTTTTTATATGTGTGCCACACAGTTAATTTATTTCAAAAGCCATCAATATGTAGTTAACTTGTTAACCAAATTTCTAATCTTTCAATCAATTAAAAATACATGTAAAGTCAAAATAAAATCTATAAAGCTTCTAAAAATTATCTTTTAAAAATATTTTAAAATAAATATATTTTTATCTATTTCTATTTAATCATATAGGTAAATATTAGAATAAATATATATATCTATGATATTACCCCTCCTTTCTTGGGACAAGTTCTTTAAGGAGTTGTCATCATATGATGAAGAAATCTAAGATGTGGCAAATTGTGTTTGCCACATACTCTAATCTTTGTTCTCTTCAACGATGGTTGATAGGTCCTTTCAATCTTCGATAGTATTTTATACCAAGAAACTATTATGTTGTGATTTGGCTATCACTTGAAAATAATCCACATATATATTTAATATATAATTTATTTTATAATTTAGTGAAAACCATATTATTAGATTTTAGCTGGTTATAAAATATGATTACATTATTATTTTGAAGTAGTTAGTTTAAAAGAGTTATTATTAAGGTTGATTTTATATTAATAATAGCTTTTATATATTTAGAGCCATCTTTATCAGACATTGGTGACTCTTGAGATCTTATTTTGTTTCTTTCAATTTATATTAGAATACATATTATGTAAATTTTATTAAAAAAAAAAATAGAAAAGGATTTTTTTATAAAAAAGAATAGTTAGGCCAATCATATGGATGAATGGAGATGGATGATAAAAATTTCTTTTCTTATTAGCCAAAATTCATGCCCAATGGACTTTAAGGAGGCTGCTTGAGACCTTATTAGGAATTTGGGTTACTCTTTTAAGACCATTCAAATTTAATAGGCTAAAATAAAAAAAAATAGATTTTTGGCCGTAATTATGGTATAAATTTTAACTAATTTGGAGTTTTTATAAAAGAGATATAAGCACTCAAAGTTAAAGTATCAGTTTTGTATCTATTGTCACTCTTTTGGACATAATGCATGCTTACAAAAAGTAATGAAAGAGCAACAATTGGGATTAGAGAGAATATTTTTTAACACATGTTATACATACTATTTGATGAATTCTAAATTGAGATGAAAGAGATATAAGAAGTTGAAGTCAATGCTTACCACCTAAAAGCAATAAGTATTATGACTTATTAATGGTTGTGTTTTGAGCTATATCTTGAGCAATTTGATAAGATTTTGGCTCAAAAATTTTAAAAATGTATATTATCATGTTATTAAATTTTATACACAAATTTTGTGGCATTTGGATTTTGGATTTTTTAAATATAAAAAAAATAGTACTTAGAAGCTTGTAAATTAGGATTTAAAGTATCTGCTAGGACTTCTAAAATGCTAGACAATCTGTAGTAGATTTATGATTCATTATTTTGTAATAAAAATTAAGAATAAGGTCTAAATTATCTATAGATTTGAGAAAAATTGAATAGTTGGATCAAGAGATGAATTTTTAAAATTTAGAGAGAAAAAATCTTTTACAAAAAAAATATTTTGAAAGGGTTTTGCTATAATTTGGCCATTTTATGCAAAGTAAAAGATGTTTTCAAAGCCAAGACTTTATATATATATATTAAAAATAGAAATATAGAGCTATAAAAAAATTATAGTATAAAGATGGATTTTTTTAAAGAGATTATGGATTTTTTTGAGCTTATTTGAAATTAAGCTTATTGGAGAATTATTTAATTATGACAGTGTAACAAAGGATGCTAGGGCATTTTTAGATGCTTTAGAAAGGCTTATATATAAAGCTTCTTAAATATAAAAAGATTTTATTATTCAAATATTTTTTGATACTATTATATTTATTTGGTCTTTATAATAAAAATATGTCATTTATTGGAACTTATCCAATAAATTAAAACAAAATTCTCTACAATTAGATATTTGGTGTATTTTCAAATAGAAAATAATACCATATGAAAGAGCTTTAAGGCACTAATTTTTCAACAAGTCATGATTGAGGATACAAAGTAAGAAGGCTTAAATGATGGAAGTGATCAAAATCATACAAATAAATTTTATAAGGGCCATGCAAATATTTATGGGTCAACGAGTTGCTAATGCAACTTTGCAAGGAGCTATAAAAGCATTGAGGGATATTATTTGAAAAATAGAAAGCTTTAATAGGAGGAATATTACTAATTTTTTGATAGTTTATAATTGCGAAATAAAAATCTATCAAAAGAGAGGATGCTTGATACTTTGACTTAGCAATTGTTCTAAAAATTAGAAAAATAGTGAAATAGCTACATAAAAATATTAATATGAATGCAAAGGTTAGATTTGAAGAGACATTGACAAATAAATATTTTAATGAAGATAGTGAAAGGATGAATAAAAGAGGTTTTTTTGATTAGGTGGAACAACAACCATAAAAATATATAGAACCAAATGAGCTATTGAAGGAATTTCAAAAGAAAGTTGGATAACTTCTATTATCTGAGAAGTGCCTTTTAAAAGTGAGAAAATCAAAGTTATTTCTATAAGCTACAAATGAAATATTAGAAGATAGATTTCTTCTCTTTCTTTAAGACAGAACAACAAAAGGTGGTTTTATCACCAATTAGAGAAGGTTGGAGGAAGCGGTGAGCTTCATTGCTAAACAACAATATGGAAAGTCTAGAAGGTTTGAGATAAAGATAGAAGTAATACTAGTAATAGATATAAAAGCTCCAACAATAACTTTTTCTATTTCTATTCTATCAATCTCTTTAAGAAATAAGAATATAAATAAAGAAATCTTTAATGAATTGATGAGAAAAATGAGAGAATTGAAGGTAGAAATGAATGTATTAAAGAAAGACACAAGGTCAAGCATTTCATGATTAATTGAAAGTTCAAAGGGATTTGTGGTGAGGTGTATTTGGTGTGATGATCCAAACTATAAATATAGTGATTGTGGATTATATATAGATGCTATGAAGAATAGCATTATTATCTATAAAAAAAGCAAAATCAAAGTTGTTATAATAAATGAGCCTCTAGAGACTAACTTTGAGAGAGGAGGTATAAAAAAACTCATGGACAATAGTTTGGAGAAGAGAAACTCTCCATGTGATAAAGAAGCAAAGACTTATATCATTTAGGCTTAGAAAATTAAGATAAGAACCTCTACATATGTATCTAAAAAAGTAATGGTAAAGGTAACTCAAGTTATTTAAAGAGTAATTGGATAGGATGATCTAGTTGATGCAACTACCATTAGGACCTATTTGGTAAATAAACATGGAGAGAAAGAACCCTATGATGCATCATTGGAAATCAAGAAGAATAGAATTAATAAAGAAGAAGTAGAAGAGCCAGCCAACAAGAAAAAGGTCCTAAGTGGTAGAAGCACTATTCCAAGAGAAAGACCAACAGACAATACAAGGCAAAGGTAAGAAACAAGGCCTTTTTCTTCACA